ATATAAGTATTGAGAATTGGGATAATATTTGCAATAGAAAATTCGTTGAAAATTTTAGTTCGCTTGAAGCTTAAAAGCATTTCTTACGATTGTCTTATTTCTGAAGGCAAGGTTATAATGAGGAGAATGCAATGAAGGAATTAAAAACTGAGGAAAATGTACAATAGGAAATGGCCTGCCATAAAGCCAAAGAGAATCTGAAAAAATCAGTGGCAGAAGACTTGCGTAAATCTTATTCAGCAAATCATTGAAAGGCTATAAGAGAACTCTTTTAAATATTAGGCTTTACCAGCATTAATGATAAATGTATCCTTCCTAGTAATATTGTATCAGAAGCATTCGTACAATCCTGTGAAAGATTTATAAAAATTCAAAATTAGTCTTTATCACTCTTTGGCTTTAAGTCTTATGCTAAGACAACATCAGATCTTAATTCAGCTATAAAGGTAATCAATGCAATTGCTGGTAATTGGTGTGGCTATACTATTAAAAGTGATAAAAAAAGAATAGGGCCTAAAGGACAACAAGTTAGGCAATACTCATACTGAATTAATCACCAGCCATATAATAGTACTGGTTTTAGAGATATAGGTGCATCAGAACTTCCACTATATAGGCTAAAATCAGATAACGATATTCAGGAACTCTTTGATTCTATAGGGCAGGACAAATAATATTTCAGCCTAGATATTTATTTAGCTAAGTCTTAATCATATTAGATTCTGTTTTAGTTTTTTTACTTTCACGCTAAACACAGTCATAAATTCTGCTATAATTGCTACAGATTCTAATATTGGAATAGGTTTTCTTTTTACAAACAGGACATATTATACTAAGAAAGGTATTATAACATCTGACGCATCCTAATTCACTTATGCATCCTTTCTCACAGATCGAACCATCTCTCTTGATGTATTGGCAAATAAAACGACCTATACGAGATAATTTTGATATTAATAATCTTAAAACTTTGCTTTTACTTTTATTATAGATATTCAAAATTCCTTTGCTTTAGCACCTTCGGCCAATCTTACTCACTCTTTTTGCGACTCTCTAGCCAATTTTTTTTATAAATAGGTTTGGCATGTATTGTAGAAAAGGTCAGCTTATTACAGCAGGATGCGCACATTTTTTCTGGTAGAGACCTATAGTGTTTGACACACTCGTCTTTATGAAAATATCTTTCTCTGCAAATAGATCTATCTTTTTTCTTATATAGGTAAGGCTAAGATAGGTAATTAGAATCTATAGAGTCCTTCGAATCAGATATGTATTCACCAAAGAGATCAAAGGCATAGTACTTCTTTTTGGAAAAGTTTTTAAGATTAGTACATATTAAACTTATCTTCACTTTTATTATAGATATTCAAAAATGTGTTATGCCAGTCTGTGAAACGCCTTAATAGCAGAACATAAGCTATATTATTTTTTTTGCTCCTAGTCAAGAGCCATCACTATTATTTTCCCTTTTTGAAAAAGTATAGCTCTGAGAGATTTTTTCGAATTGAATTTTTTCACAGATAATATAACTAGATAATAGTTAATATTGTCATGGCATGGAAAATAATAAAATATCTGATATTATTAATATGTATGGCTACTAAATTTTGCTAGATTTATCACCAATATAAGTAATTTTATTTTTTCATTTGCCTAAGATTTAGCATATATAAAATATCACGAAAATATTCAGAATGGAATTAACTGATTAAAAGCATTCATTTAATGTATCCAAAGAGCAGGAAGTTATCAGATATATGAAGATATTAGCCTAGGCATTTGGACTAAATGAGCAAAATGCAGAAGTATATAGTACACTTTCCAGTGAAAATAGAGCACTAAAGAAATAATTGGAAGATTATCATTCCTAACATAATACTTTAGAAAAAAGGGTAAAAAGATTAGAAAGAGATGTAAAGTCCTTAGAGACTGAATTAGAAGTTCTGGATGAATGTGTAGATAAGGAAAACTGTGATCAACTTAATATAAGAAATAGTTCCTTTAATAATTGATAAAAAAGGTAAGAGTTTTTCCTATTTGTCTAAGTCTTCTGAAGAATCTGATTCGGTTAAGACAATTGTGATAAGAGAAAACGAGGCTATCCCTCATAAGCAATGAAAGAAGGTATGACCAAAAAAGGTTAAACAGTTAGTGGTTTAAAATAGGCTGAGATGAAATCAAAATATATTTAATGCAGAAAATTTCGAGTCTGAAATACTAATCATCACTTTGAGATATTGATTTCAATCTGAAATAATTTATTAGATAATTGAATTAGATATACTAAAAGATATGGCTAAAAAATCGAGGAATAACCAGCGCAAGATAATGGATAAGTTCACTACTAACTTTATGCAGTATTTGCTATTATGCAATCCTGTCAAATATGAACACATATATGATAGGGCCACTGGCTTAATCACTGTCAAGAACATAAGACAGGATAGAGTTGTAGACGTGTTTGATTACTTTGAACTGAGTGAATATCTGGGAGTCTGATCTAACCCAAAAAATTTATTTTTTCGATTAAAGATACAGCATATATTATTTATGGCGTATATAAGTATTTTTAATATATAGGAATTACTAGAACATATTTTACATTTCTTAGCAGTAGATAAGACACTATATTCCGCTCTATTTGTTTTCTGATTGTGGTACAGATGTAGTGCTCCTATTTTATAAGAACACATTGAGCTAAAAGGAAATGAAGTAGAGGATAAATCTCAATTGGAAAGATTTTTAAAAACAGTATACAAGGAAGGACGAAAATTAATTTATAGCTCGAAATTAGCTCATCTTAAAATATTATATTATCACTCAATTTCAAATAAAAAAATCAAAGGTATTGTACACACATTCCCAAATATAATTCATTTAGACTTTGAAAAAAGTATAGATCCTATTGGTGAAGTTCTAAAGCTAATGGTGAAATCATACCCAAATTTGAAGTATCTCAATATATCCGCTTTATACAATAGATTTTGACCAAAAAATGATATAGATCTAACTGCAATCATAAATTCATGTCACAAACTAGAATATCTAAATATTTCTAAACGCATAGAATTTTCTGAAATATCAATTTGTAATGTTATTCGTTCTTGCTCAAGGCTCTAGCATCTTAACCTTAGCTTTTCTGAAATTAGTGATATAACTATTAAGGAAATTGTTAAATCATGTCCTAATTTAAAATATCTTAATCTGAGAGGGTGTTATAAAGTTAACAAAGAATCTGTAGATCAGCTAAATCCAAATATCTATGTTGAAAATTTTATGAAAACTTCAGCACCCCTTAGTTTTATTGGATTAGTTAGAAATTATCTTATACAGCCTAATATTGCTAATAACTGACTTTTAGCTTAGCGTCTTCAGAGGCTAAATATACAGGATAATTTGCAGTAGTATCCCAATCTATAGTTGATTTGATCAACAGTCCAGAGTAGCTGAGATGTGTGAAACATGATCATTAATTAGATTTTTTTTACTGGATTATACCCTGTACGACAAAAAAATATAGATTAACTAACTTATACTAGACATGTGCACTGGTTTGTGCTAGCTGAATTTTTTACGAAAATATCATGCAATTCTTGAGGAGTGCTCTTCAGAAATTACGGGACTGTTTTTCAGGGTTAAATCTGAATATATAAAGATATTCTATTGCATTTTTATCGACTTCTATTTCACTTATTTCTCGATTAGTATAACCATCAATATTAAGAAGATTTTGAATTATGCTTATATCCCATTCCAAATATAAAAGTAAATGATAAATTTCCCCAAGTGACATTTTCCTAAATGTTACATCCATAAGATCTTGCATATTTTAATGTAATATTGTAAGAATGGGGTGATCACAGATATTGATTTTCTCTTGTATCAGTTTTAATTCTTCTACTAAATTAAATAATAGCCCAAATGAATCTTTAAGTATTTTTCCTTTCTTGTATTGAATCAATGCTGTTTGATTTGTATTATCATTAATAGATAGTTCCTCTGAGATCGCCATATCAAGTTTTTCCTGAATAGCTATTATATCTTTCTTCTTATATAAAAGTAATTTATATAAAAGTTTTTCATGTAGCTCATTATATAAAAGCTCTTCATTGACTTGATCAGAATTATTAGTATTACTTGTCATGATTGTATTTATCTCTAGCTAGCATATATTCAATTTGTGTCTAGAATACTGATTATCAACCGGAACAGTGATCACTAGCTTGAAAGATTTTTTGTTAAGTCACAGATTGTACGACAGAAAAAAAAGTAGATCATCAGTTAGGTCTTGTGCGATATATTAATTTTCGTATATATATTCGAAAGAAAATATTAACCTATATTCTCTATTTTTTTTCCCATACAAACATGAGAAAAATGTGAAAGAAAGTCTAAACGCAATACAGGACCTACCGTAAAAGTAAATACTGATGGCAAAAGCATATGATATGAAGGGCTGAGGACTTTGTAATTTCGAGATCTATAAGAACTAACTACCTTTGCGTCTCTCTGGTAGATTTACATATGAAAAGGTATGAAAATTCTGTTTGCATGCGTTTTCATAGAGCTCTTGACATCAGACGACAATACTAATTACATCTCATACCTCCTTAACTTTAACTTGGCGCTCTTTTTCTAGCCAGATATAAAGCATGTAGGGGTATGTAGAAGTTCAGCCAACTTTCTGCCAAAAACTTTCCTAGAAACATGATGCAAAACAAGGTATGTATATGCCATAGATTATGTATGTATAGGAGGGTCCCTCTGGGACTGAGCGAGTTTTTCTCACTATGGGCTCCTGTATTTAGGAAAGCAAGATGTCTTCCATGGCTGACACATTAGAAGGATGGGAAACTGAAAGACTTATCAGCTTTTTGCGAGCTGATTCCAAATTAGAAGACTTAAAACTTGACAATAGCTTCTTTACAAAGCTTTGTAATGAAAAAATTAGCAGTCATTCATTTTTCAATCTAACTGGATAGAAATTTAAGGATTACAGAATGACTTTAGGACAAGCATTAAAACTCGAGAATTACATTAAGGAGCTAAGTGAGTAATTAGCAACATTATGGCTGTATTTTATTGATAGTTGTGATAGCTCTGCTATCTGTTCTCGTTGTTCTAATAGTCTTATTTTATAAAATCAAAGATAATTGAAAAGCAAGATTAGCGGTTTACTGTGTAAAAGAAGAGGGCTTAAAATCAAACGACCCCCTAACTAGTTAGAAATTTTTTATATATTAGTTATTACCTCAGCAACGTTTTTATGTATTGTAAACCAGTTTAGTTTCTCTGGAACTCTTTCAGCAATGATCTATTTCATAAATAAAATATTATTTTACGGAAAGGGATCACGTATAATAATGCAATGTTTATGCTATATAAAGACCTATATTAATGGCCAGTATTCTCTTCTCCAAACAGAAATATTTTTTATCTTACTCCGGAAAGTAACACTATTTTTGTCTGAGTCTAATAACTATATAAAAAGCGCTATATCTACCTTAACAGCTGAACACGACTCTTATTTAGTTGAGAATTGGAATACATATCGATTTTTTGAAAGAGCAGAACCTCAAGCTCGACTATGAGATTCTTTGTAATGAAGAAATTACCGGTCTCTTCTTTCTTGATATGACTGAAGAAAAATTACGTAGTTATAAATTTAAAGGTGGATCAGCAACACTTCTTGCAAAAGAAGCTAAGACCCTCAAAGAAAAGCCAAAGCATGCGTTCTTCTCGTATTGCAGTTTGAGTGAGATATTGACGAAATATGACATTAATAGTGATGGTATAACAAGCATACCTCAGTTCGCTTCAGGTAAGTTATATGTATGGCAATTTTTTCGTTAACAAATTTTAGACTTACAAATACCATTTATAGACCCCCACCCTATAGAAGAAAATTCTCCAGAGTTTAAGCTTTGCATTGATGACATTATTCGCAGAATAAAAAATATGGATCCAGTTGTTGACAGTAGTAATGAGGCTATATGCTGTGAATATATTTCAACGATCCTTCACACAGCCATCAGTCTTCTTAAAGATTTGTTTATCTTACCTTAAATGACAGTAACTGGTGCTAGAAGTTCTGGCCGTATGGATTATGCAATCAAAAAAATAATAGACAGTTTATTCGAAGAAATAATTTGCATAACTGAAGGGAAGCAAAACTAGCTGGGCAAAGGCGTGGCTCAAAATATTAAGCAATGTAAAAGTTCATGCAATGTAAGTAATGTAGATTTTTATTTTTCACTTTGTACAAAAGGTAACTGACATTATCGATATAGATGAACTTAAACATGCTCAAGAAAAAGCGAAAGTCTGACGAGGCATTTGGTTCTGAGTATAAATATATCTAAATAACTCTAGTGAAGGTTTCTGTTTTCTCTTTTGCATCACCCAGTTCCAAAGGGACCTCTAACTTGTTTCACAATTTCTTAATCATGGACTGGTATCTCATCCTACATAGCACCGAAGGCATCTACTGTACAAGTAAGACTAAGTACCGAATCTTACTAATGGAAGATGCCATCAAAAATCCAGCTGAATTACGCAAAAATGTGAAGAGGGTTTTGAAAATTATAATGGGTTTGTTAAAAGATAGGGTATCAGTTAGTGAAGAACTCACAAATAAGAAGCGTTGTGTAGAAGTGATAATTAAGAAAAAATAAGCGGTATAAGTCCGGAGTCATTAGCATAGAAAAAAAAATCGTCAAGTATTCTGGGCTACGTTCTGATCTTGTATTTATTTTTGCATGTAATAATAAAAAATTTTTCTTGGCAAAAGTGATTTGCATTTCAAATTGAAACAGACACGTGATCTTTTATTATTTAATTTAAATATTTAGTGTACTAAATAAGTGTTATCAATTATGTTAAACGCACAATCTATTAATTCATTAAGAGAGGTAAATGCTAGACTCTTAATTGAGATTTCTGAACTCAGAAGGAAGTTTGCAGAGGTTGAGGCTGATAATGTAAAGCTGAAGCAGATTATTGAGGAAAATGCCAGGCGTGATGCTAGAGTTGAGGAATTAGAATAAAAAAATATGGAGCTTGAGGCAGGGTTCCTTGGTAGTAGATGATCAGCTACATAAAGAAGTAATATCAAAGAGATTTGTAGAGCAAACTGTATCAGATGTTGATTTATCCAACTCTGTAACAGACCAGCGAAATAATGATAATGTCAAGATATCAGAGGAAAAGGAGATGGATGCTTTCTTGGTTAAGGTAAATAAGAAAAGCATTAGTAATAAAATTAGAAAAAACAGGCGAGAAAAGAAGATTCAGGATAAGATGATTGCCAAAGACTCATCCTCCGTTACTTCAGACTTGACTCACTGTGAGAAGGACCTCTCTATGACTAGCGCTGAACTTGTAACTCTCCCAGAACAGGTAGCCAAAGAATTGATTCCAGCCTGTAAGTCAGTTATCTCTGGTAACAAATCATCTGCTAGGATATCGCCAGTAAAATCGTCTATGACAGACAAACAGGTTCTAGCTTCTGAGAACACAGAGACAGAGTGTCAAAAATTCCTTATAATCAAAAAGTGAAGCAAAGTTTGAGACAGAAGCTATCCTCTATTGAAGTTGATAATGGTAAGATTAATAAGACATTTGATATTTAGATTCCTGAACTCTCTTTAGAAGCAATTCTGATTGGATCTAGTGAAGTTACGGCACAGAATATAGTTGATCTATTTAAAGTAGCAATGAAGCTTAAACACAAGAAGATTTTATGCTGGTATTGTTACTATAAAGCATATGAGAATCGAGTCAGGAATGTTAAGTCTAAGAATGATATTGATGACAAATCAGCAAGAACATTGGTGTATAGCGAAATCAAACTCCTTCTTCCTGATATTACTAATGTAAACTTGCATAAAATAACTTTCAGAGCTAAAAAAATCTATATATTGTTTAATGGGATAGGAGTAAATAGAATCCAAATAATTAGCTGTAATGCAAGTGCTATCTTAAATTTATATGATAATCAGATCCAGGACATTATAAATGATTTTCCTAAAAAAGCTACTAATACAGATGATGTAGGTTATGAAGACTCCGTTCCAAATTAGAACGGACATGTGACTTCGAAAACCAATAAAACTGAGATACAAGTGAATCCCTTAGGAGTAAATACATCAGCAAATATATTATCTTCATCCTAATCTAAGCCAACCTATGATCGCACCTATTTTCTCAACAAGACATTGGATTATTATCCTAATTTATATAGAGAATTTAGTAGTGAAAATTTCGATTATTATGGAATTACTGATGAGACATCATGCTCATTATGCAAGTTAGATCATGGTGATAAAGAAAGCATAGAAAGTAAATATAAAACCAGATCCTATTTTATTAAATGTGAACAGCGTGAACTTGAGATAACTGCATAGTCTCATTATTTTACAATACTATATTTGCTCATGCTTCATTGTGATATTTTTACAGGACTAATTCATGTTAACTATTACCTAATTTAAATTGATTTGCAATCATAGAAAAAAGTCACTGGATTGGCATGCCAAATTAACTGGTTTACCAAGTGTTTTGACAGATAGGATTCGGTCCAGCTTATACAAAAAATATAAAAAAGAAACTGGATATGAGCCATGGCAATTATCAGAAGGTCATTTTCTCATTAATTCAAAGCCAGAAAACAAAGTATCCGATTTATCTTTTTCTGAGCAATGTGAAGAAAAAGTGCCTATCACCTTCAAAGCAAAACCTGATCCAGAGCTAATTATCAAATCCATCTTAGAGCACTTTCCATACTTGAAATTCCGAAATAGTTTTAGAGGGATTGATAATTATAATTTTGCATCACCTCAGCCGTGGAGCTCACCATGCCCTATTTGCAATAGAAAACATGGAAATTATGGATTACATGGCTCATGGTACCGCAAAAATGGGAATCAGCTCCCTTATGATCCCAAATTAGTGAAGTTGCTATCATCCTAAGATAAGTTAGAATATTTTCTTACCTGCAACACTTCAAGCAATAAATCCAAGTTCGCGATCGTAGTATAGTTCGGTCATGTGAGACAGATTACCTAAAATGCGCAGAAAGAAAAAATTCTTGCCGTATATTGGTGCGAATTGAAAATATTATTTCAGTTGCTAATCTCCCGAATTTATGTTATAGGTTCAACATTACTTAATCTTGGAGAAGTTTTCTTGCAGGAATATTATTTTACATTGTCTGTGTGGATGGAAGACATGGGTGGGATAATAATTTATTAGTGTAGGTAGCAGGATAGAAGCAAAACGTGACTTTTGTAACCGTCATACGGTTGTAGGTTATACGGCTGTAGATCTGATTTACAGCGTGAAGCGTGAAGCGTGATTATAAGCTAGAACGCGCCTGATTTTTTTACACCAGATTTTCACTCCAACATTCTCGCAAAAAAAATATTGCTGCAATGCCCAAGAAAATGGTGAGCTTTTCAATAGACAATATTGTGAGACATGGTCATACTATAATCACTTTTTAATTTCTATTCCATTTTTTTTGTCGTCTTAAGACGCAAGGTTTATTACTTCGGTTTGAAGGATGGGAAGCTACTTTGAGCCCTGAACAATTTAATCTTATTTTGATCCTCAAATTCTGTCATACAAAAGATGACTTTACGTATGATAAGTCTGCTGAGCATACCGAAATAACAAAGTTCGCATCATACGTTGCAGAAACTACAACAGATGAAAATTGGAGGAAAGCTGCATTAGCTCTCAGCGAAGATGAAAAGATCAAAGTAAGTACTTTAGATTTGTTTTAAGAGAAAATTCTGGATAGAGACGGGATTGGGCAACGTTGAAACAACCACCTAAGCGGCCAGGTACTGTCAGACTAGTTATGGAAACTCTCCGGTGGGTCCCGTCTTAAATCTGCGTGAAAACTAGAGGCATCGTCTCATGTTAAGAGCACTGTTCATTCACAGTCCTAGTGACTTTCCAGCTCCTAATGTCTCGTTTTTTGTTTCTAAAACTTACAATCATTTTATTTCCCAAGCGCCAAACACAGCGAGATGATGTTAAATTGTTCTGGAATATTGTTTATGACGAAAAAGCTGACTTAGATAAACGTTTGTTGTAAAATAAGTTGGAGCAAACCAAGGTATGTTCGACACATATATACTAAGTTTCAATCTTCACAGTAACCATATCAACCTTTGTTGGCAGATCCAGTTCGCGGTTGATCGTTATATGATGGGGAATAAAGCTCATTTGATCGCAGACGAGGCAAAATTAGATTATATGTCGGCCCTTGATTTTCCTAGTGCTCTCATAGCACCACCATCCGATACTTCTCTCACAACACTACCACCTGGTAATAATCCCACAACGCCACCATCTGGTAATGATCTCACAACGCCACTATCTGGTAATGATCCCGTAACGCTGCTACCGCCTAAGCAGAATATTCTTAAACGTCCTCAGCCCTTACTCGATATTTATGAAATAGACTTGGATTGGGCACTGTGGAAGCTCAATGCCATAATCAACAATATTGACATAGAACAAATCCTCCTGGATTTATATAAAAAATGTCAAAAAACGAGACCAAAAATGAAAACGTCACTCAATTGTGGCATTATTGACCTCAACAATGGTGTTATTTTAGAAGCTCTGGGTGAATCGATAAAGTTGTACTTCGAAGAAAAAATACAGATATATAAACCTAGGAAAGTCATATCTGAAGATGTTGCAAAAACCTTGAAAAAATTTAATGTAGTAAGTAATCAAAGAATAATTCACGAAAAATAATGATCGGTTATGATTACTTAAAGTTTTTTTAGACATCCTTAGAAGATCTCGGAAAAGTACTGTCAGAAGTCCAAATCGACTATAATAGTCTGAATCGTGATATTGTTTATGTGCATCGCCTTTTTCAAAAATTGTAAGTATTTGAAGCATATTCTATCATGATATTGAAATGTAGTTTCTTTCTTTCCTAATATTGATTTTGTGCACAGTTTTCTACTATTCCAAGATAATAGCTACTTGAATCTTAATAGTTTTGAACTACAGGGGGGGTGGTATAATAGTCACATTGTGGCACCAATTTTTGACAATTGTCTCGAATCGGTTGATGAATAGATTCTCCGATAGTATGGGAAAGTGCATTTTATACTGATGCTTTACAGTGGCGATCAAAAATAATGCATCACTGGAATAAAAATCGAAAACTATTAATATCACGTGATCTATCGATGATTGACTTCCGAAACAAAGAAATTT